TACAAGCATGCTTCGTGTGAGGGGTTGCCTTCAAGTGTAACGATCTTGGTTCTGTTGTTTTTCTCTAAGTTTTCAGTTTCAAGTTTAGGCAGGTTTTTTCTTGCTTTCCAGCTTTATTGGTGTGTCTGGATTCATTTAAGTTGCTTAGGTTTTTCTTTGTCTGTCCTCTGCTGCCCCCTTGTGTTCTTTTCCCTTGGCTTCCTCATCAGCTCTAGTCACACCTGCTCCCTATCAGCTCATTAGCCCTACCTTTGTTCAGTCAGCCATAAATACACTCCCTCTTACCTTTTCTCACCCTGGCTCCTTGATGGTTTTCCCCTGATATCTCCATGGGTCTGGTTTGTGTTTGATTTTTATGTAGGATTTTTGGATTCCTGTTTTTGTTTAACATTTTTAAGTTGGATTTTTTGGATTCCTGTTTTTGCTGCTAGATCTGTCATCAAACCCTTTAAGAACTCACCTCTGCCTGTCAGCCTCTGCATTTGGGTCCTCATAAAAACCTCCAAACAAATCGTGACATCAAGTCAATGCATCAACTGGATTTCCTTAGGTAGAAAACTTTGACTCAATCTGGATGATCTGGTGAACTGTAAAGTGCCCTGAGATGACGTGTTGTGAAATGGTGCTATATAAATGAAGGTTCTTATGGGACCTTCTTTATGAGAAATTCTTCTTGACCCTTCGACAGGGAAATCTGTTAAGATTTATCACTGTTTCAAGTGTTATAGTACTCAAAGCTAGTCTTGGTCTTAAGACGAGGTTTTGGTCTTGATCATGTCTCAGACTCAACCGCATAGGCACCTAGTGTTTTCTTATAAACTGAGGACTTCAAATATCATTTTATTTAGTTGTCTGTGATTCATATAACTTGCAAAGAAAACGTAGATTGTGCTGAAGAAACTTAAACTAAAGACCATAACTTGACCTGGTCTTTTTGTAGGATGTCTTAATGGCAACAATACTTAGGGTTTATACATGACATATATATATATATATATATATATATATATATATATATATATATATTTTTACATTGCAGTGTCCATATAAACTGTAAAACTCCCTGCATAATTACAATAAAGCAATTTATATGCATGAAACAAGTGTAGCAGTATGGCAATTGCCATACTGCTACACTTGTGAAAGTAAAATCTGTTGGGCTCTTTTTGGCATCAAGACAATTATTCTTATTGCCACATTGCCAGACAGGACACTGTTTAAAAAAAAAATATATATACCATTATATATATCTGATGGTATGGTTTTTTTAAATGTATCTTTTTTTTAAAGTTAAGCATTTTAAATGCCACCATAGTCACATTTAATGTATTTTAATGCTCATTAAGGCCTTAATTAAAAAAAATAATTTAATTACTTTTAATTATTTTTTAAGACCAGCGGAAACCCTGATAGCTTTTTATATTTTCTTTATTTTACATTCCCAGAGCCTTATACATGGTTTTAAACCCTTTCAAGACAAATAAGCATGGGAAAGTGGGAGTGGACCCGCACCTGGTCACCTGGATCCACAGTTATCTCACCAACAGGCCGCAGAATGTCAGGCTGAAGGACATCATGTCTGACACTGTGATCAGCAGCACAGGAGCCCCTCAAGGCCCAGTGCTGGCCCCTCTTCTCTTCACCCTGTACTCCTCTGACCTACACTACAACTCAGAGCTGTGTCACATACAAAAGTATGCTGACGACACAGCCATAGTCGGATGCATCAGGGATGACAAAGAGGAGGAGTATCGACATGTGGTGGGGGACTTTGCCCTTTGGTGCCACACAAACCACCTGGAGCTCAACACCTCTAAGACAAAGGAGCTGGTAACCTTAATTTCTGGAGGGAGTCTTCTCAATGGATCAATAAAGTTCTGTCTAAGTCTAAATAAATGCTAACAAACTTTCTTTCTAAAAGTCTGGGATATAATCACTCATGTTTTTGAGCCACTTCAGTGACACTTTGCAGAATTTATCAGCAATAAATGAATTAAGCATTAATTATTCAGTACCTAAATGTTAAATATAAAAATCTAATAATTATCTCTATTTAATTATTATAAAGATGAATATCACTTACCTTTTTCACTTACCTTAAAGCCTTATACTATATCACTTACCTTATAGCCCTTTTCCTTTGCAAAGCTATTGATGACAGCCCTCCGCTCTCTTGTGGTGTTAGTAGCATCAAACACCTGTGGGACACAGGACACACCTGTTGCCTGTACCATCATTCATCTGATATCTGAAAACAATGTTACATGAATATTGCTTCAAATCTCTAGTGTTCAACAACTGAGGAGTAACATTTATTTTCAAATAAAAGGGAAAAAAAATTAAATGATCTAGAATGACTAGACTTCAGTTCTTACTTTAAACTCCAGTTTAAATTAATGCTAGATCTCAGACAGACAGTTTGTTATTGTCCTCTTACTCACGGCTACTTGTCCATGTTCTCTTGTGAAGTACGCAGCGACATCTTTGAGGGCAGCTGCAGCACAGGCCCTAAGAGACAGCTTAAACTTTAACGATGATGAATGATAAACGCAAGTCAGAGTTGAATAATATGAAGAAATTAAAAGAAAAAGTGCAGGTATATGATAAATATTTATGTGAGCTCTAATTACAAATATACATAGTGTATAAACAAATCACAAAGGGACTTTCGAATGTTTTATGCCTGCAGATTCAATACCACGAGGCTCCTAATAAATCACAAGCATGAACGACCACTTGAGACAGCACTGTTTTCTTCTCGTCTGTGTAATGATTCAGACTGTGGACCAAGGAAATCCAGAAACAACAGTGGACGGACGGTAAACAGATTTATTGAACATTGCAGAAAACTCAGGAACAGGTTAAAACAAGGGAGCAGGAACTACTGGAAGGGAGAGGACCGGTTAGTTGCAGGTAGGGTGGCAAACTCCCTGAAAAAAAAAAGGGAAACCTCGTGTGCCATGTCTACTTCTGGTGTTGCAAGGTGGTCCACCACTGGCAGCATGTTGTCTCAAGTCTGACAGCCCGCCATGGTCTACAGAAAAGCGTGCCGGCACACCATGCAGTGTACGGAAGAGGATTAGGGCCAGTGAAAAAAAAAAAAAAATTAACAGATTTTTAAATTTTATTTCAATTTAGTATGGTCAAAAAGTCAGAATTCTGAGAAAAAGTCAGAATTCTGAGATTAAAGTCAGAATTCTGACTTTTTTCTCAGAATTCTGACTGAATTCTGACAATAAAAAAGTCAGAATTCAGTCAGAATTCTGAGAAAAAGTCAGAATTCTGAGATTAAAGTCAGAATTCTGACTTTTTTCTCAGAATTCTGACTGAATACTGACAATAAAAAAAGTCAGAATTCTGACCAAATTCTGACAATAAAAAAGTCAGAATTCAGTCAGAATTCTGAGAAAAAAGTCAGAATTCTGACTTTTTTCTCAGAATTCTGACTGAATACTGACAATAAAAAAAGTCAGAATTCTGACCAAATTCTGACAATAAAAAAGTCAGAATTCAGTCAGAATTCTGAGAAAAAAGTCAGAATTCTGAGATTAAAGTCAGAATTCTGAGAAAAAAGTCAGAATTCTGAGAAAAAAGTCAGAATTCTGACTTTTTTCCCATGTTAAACTGAAATAAAATTTAAAAATCAGTTAACTTTTTTTTTTTTTTCCAGTGGCCCTAATCCTCTTCCGTAGCAGTGTGCTTTATATTCATGATCGCGGATTTTTCCACCCAGGTATTTCTTTTTTCCCATTCCTCCCTATATTTCTGCATTCTTTTTTTTTTTTTTGGAGGAGGAGCATCGCTATGTGAAGATGCTCCGCCCCCAAAAGTATTTAAATGACTTGTTCGTCCCCCATGCTGCTCTGTTGTCTCTCGCGTTCTTCTCCATGAGCAACACTTGGCTCGACCAATGGGATGAGGGTATTCTGGATCGTTACATATATGTTTTCAGCTCATTGGTCACAATGCAGGACTTAAATGTGAATGCACAAAACCGAGTGCTAAGGTCCAAAATCAGTGCAAGTGAGAGAAATGGGTCTGGGCCTAAGAGTTGAACGAGTTTAGCCAGATAAACCAAAATAACTTTTCCAGTCTTGCTTTGTTTTTATCAATTACAAACCTGGTTCAACTGTTGAAAATTCAAAGAATTTCATCTGGAATAAATGTCTGGGCTTTTAATGAGCGCTCATGGGTGTCGTACTTACTTGCGGATCCTCATGGCCTCCTCATTGTCAGGTTTAAAGAACTCAAAGTTCTTGTAGGTTTTGACTGCCTCTCTGCGATACTGGCCCACATTAAATACTGGTGGAGATTCAAATTAAACATGTGGGTTAGGGGAAACACAATTAGCCTGCATGCTTGGTTAATTTTGATAATAATTAAGAATTAACGTTAAATATAATTTCTCTAACCTTTTGTGGGAACTCCAATCCAGTTTAGGTAGCGAGTGAGCTTCTTGGAGATGTATGTCTTCCCTCTGGCAGGTAATCCTACCATCACAATCACCGTTGGGGAGTTACAGAACTGGGGCACAGACGCTGATAAGTAAAATGACCCAAAAAAAAAAGAGAGAGAAGGTGTAATTCTGGACCGGATTTGTGATTTGATATTCAGGAATACTGTTAGCGTCTCAAAATTCAATCAGATGCAAACTCAGTTGGGTTCATTCTTATCAGACATGTGTGTCATTTCCCAGGTAAGTGTACCATGAGGCAACAGAAATATTTGCTGTTCAAACCTGCGTCTCTTTGGCCCCCAGAGATACCAAAGGAAAAAATCTTATATCAGCCTGATGCCACAAGAAACTTTGTTTCATGCTCATCTGTTGATTGGAGTTGTTCAACTAAACCACAAAGCTGATCTTCAGTAAGTGTTTGTGGCACTTAAAAAATTATAGGTCGGGTACTTAGAAGAAGTGGTGGTTGGCCAATAGAGGGCGCTAGGGCGGCGTCCCATGCACCCAATAACCCTGATTAAGACATAAAAAAATATATATATTTATATTTTTTTATAATTTCATTTTAAATTTAAAATATTTCGAAATATATCCATATATTGTGCCAGATAAATATTTGATCTTTAATGACTAATAAAGCATCATTCCATTTTTTGTCAGATTGGTGACATATTTCCACCCTAGGGCGCAAAAATCTGTGCCCATTGACTCTGGTTAAAAGTTGTCCATGCGCAGTAGGTCCGCTGCAATGCAGAAGTATAGGAGAGCTTGGGGCGCGGCTAAGCTGTGACCTGAGGTGACAGGAAGTGTAATTGGCCACCACCTCCCGCCACAGCGCAGACGTTTGGCGGGTGATTGACAGGTTGAGTCGGGGGATTTGGAGACGCATTGGAGAGAGAGAGAGAGAGAAATGGCGAAAGAAACATCCTTTTCCAGGACCTGTTTTAGCTCCAAGGCTTGGCTAACTGCATGCAGCGAGGCTAAGGCTTTATCCTGCTTTCCCTGCCTCCTTTTTCAAATGTCAGGATCTGACCCAGCATGGATAAAGACAGCTAGGACAGATTTAAAGCACTTTATATAAAAGGCAAAGAAGAACAAACAATCTGGGATTCACATGGAAAACAATAGAATCTAGTCTACTTTTTCTAGATGTTTGTTAATTTGCATAGCTGCTCTTAAATAAACACATTCTCAGAAAATAAATATTGTTTATATATTAAAACAATATAAAGCTGCCTAATAGCTTCTCCATTGTTAAACTGCTACATTATTTCTTTAGGTGAGTGACACAATATTGGACAATACTTCACAAAGCCTCAGAAGGGCAAGATTTATGTACAAAAATAAAGCTGGACATGAAATTATGTTTTGTTTTTATAATTTTTATTTGTTGTTGGCATTCATAAAAATATAGTGGTGTGATAACTTATATACGTATACGTCTATTTGAAATTATAGCCCCCCCTGGAGTAAACTGCACGAACCGCCACTGCTTAAAAGACTGAATTTATACTGTGACAGAAAGTGTTTGAGCCATCAGCAAAAATTTAAGAGGAGCAGGTCTGACGCTGCACATACAGCAAACTCTGACCTGGTTTCGCTTCTGAAGGAAGCCTTGCCCTGTGTGGCCTACTTGCCTCCTAATCCCCTGAAAAATCTAAACTAAAATTGGAACCAAAAGGACCAAAAACACAGAGACAAACAACCATACACACACACACTCACACCTAAGGGGAATTTAGAGAAGCCAGTTAACCTAACAGTCATGTTTTTGGACTGTGGGAGGAAGCCGGAGTACCTGGAGAGAACCCATGCATGCTCAGGGAGAACATGCAAACTCCATGCAAAAAAACCTCTGCATTATGGTGAACACTGGTGTTTACCAGCGTTCACTTTAAAATGACACCACTGGGTTTCACTTTCCTGCTAACTATGACACACAATGA